TGGTGATGACTAGCTGCCTTCCCTCTAGTCTTACACTGCTAAATTAGGGACGGCTAGCGCAGATAGCCCTCGTGTAGCTTTGCGCGAAATTAAAAACAAACAAACAAACTTTATCATTAAGTTTAGAATTTTGTTGGATAGTCAACATGGTTTCACCAAGAGAAAATTTTTGCCTTACAGATCTTTGGACATTCTTTGAAAAGGTTACTGCTTAAGTAGATGAGGGTAAGGGTGTAGATTTCGTGTATCTGACAAGGTGCCACATAAAAGGCTTGTAAAAAATTATCACTATACGTGTGGGGGATAGGTTAGCTAATTGGATAGAAGAATGGCTGGATGGAAGAAAGCAGTGTTGTTATAAATGGAGTTGAATCAAACTGGATTAATATCACAAGTGGGGTACCTCAGGGCTCAGTTTTAGGACCTTTGTTATTTTTGATTTACATCAACAACATAGTGAAGGAATGGTCAATAAATTACTTAAATTTGCTGATGATATTAAGGTTTTGGGTATTGCTGGCTGTGAAGAGGATGCTGCTGCTTTACAAAAAGATTTAGATCATTTAGTGAATAGGGCATATAAATGGCAGATGAGTTTTAATTTTAGTAAATGCAGGTGGGTTATCATAATTTAAGTTAAGTATAACTTGGATGGGAATAACCTAACAGTGTCATGAAAGAAAAGGATCTTGGTGTAATGGTTGATCAGTGTCCTAAGCCATCCAGTCAGTGTGCTGATGCTAGTGGTAAGAGAAATAGGATTTTAGGTTGTATATACAGAAATATTGAATACAAGTCCAAAGAGGTTATAATTTCGTTGTATAGGTCACTGGTTAGGCCACATTTTGAATATTGTGTTCAGTCTTAGGCTCTTTACCTTAGGAAGGACATTGAATTGTTGGAAATGGTTCAGAGGAGGGTTATTAGATTGGTGCCTGGGATGGAGGGATTATTATATGAGGAAATATTAAGTTCTCTGAAATTCTCTTCTCTTGAAAATAGAAGAGTTAGAGGAGATCTTAATGAGCTATTTAAGATTTTAAAGGGAATTGATAGTGTTGATGCATCATATTTATCATACTTAATGACAAGAATAGTAGGACTAGGGGATGCAAATATAAAGTTTGGCAGGATAGGAGTCATCTTCAGCTAAGGCAGTTTTATTTTCCTAACAGGGTGGTTAGCCTCTGGAATGGGTTGCCTTTGGATGTTGTGGAGGTAGTAAATTTAAGTGAAGTTTAAGAGAAGGCTTGATAACTATATGAATGATAAGGGCTGGGTTTATTTGTTTGGTAGTTTTAGTTCAATTTAGAGGATGAGACAGCTGAGATGGACCAATAGGTCCCTTGTTGTCCCTAAACATTATGTTATGTTAGAGAGGGACATGTCAGAGTTAAAGATACTGTTACTTGCATTAATCACACAGGAACTTGCTCAAAACTCTAATAGAACATTCGGGCAACAACCAACTTAAAAAGTGGACTCTAAACCTTCATTTTCAATAGCTAAGACTACCCAAACATTGATAATAAGCAAAACAAGTGATTTCATTATTGTAGACAAAACCGGTATTAGCCCTTTTGTTCATGTTATTATTGGTATTAATATTATTGTCCCACAAGCCTACAGCAAAATCAGCTGGGTATTTTACACCAAAAGTTAGATATACTATATGAAGTTCTGCAAATGTCCATGACCTATATAAAAGTTGATTATTTTTCATTGAAAGTTGATTTACTTGGTTATAAATACATAATAGATGTAATGTTGTTCTGAGTGGCTGCTTTTGTACTCGAAGTGTATTTATATGAAACCTTAGGCACAAAGCCACCTGGCTTAGTAAATAATTACTTTAAAAGACATGAAGCTTTATTTATAGTGATGTTTTAGATGTATTTGTTTTATTGGAAAAAGCTACTCTTCTATTGGCAAAATTTTATACATACTTAGTGGGGATTTGTCTTATTCTAGGCATATATTTGCCCATTGCTGTGCATTAAATAAAGGCAACATGCAAAATAACTAAAAATTGAGAATTTAAAATCTACAAATAGGGATCGAAAGAAAATAAGCAAACACGGCTGGAGATCTACTGCTGTCAGTTTGCTCCAGCTACAAATCCCTATTATGACTCCATTATAAAATTCTTTGAAATGATATCTACTGCAGTGTGGGTTCGCACAGGAATTTTGCCAAAACTGAAACTTAATTAGACCTCCTAAATTTTGTTGTTCTGCAAAATTTTCACTTTCTGCCATCAAAAAATCTAGTGTTTTCCTAGTGTGTGTGCATTAGTTAAAAACTACAATTTGTGTGCATTTTCTAGCACATTCATTGGAAACTGCCACATGAAAGATTCCCAATTTTGCTGTTGCATATCTTTACTCGAGTCTCTATTGTTCATCATTACTTGACTTTGCTGTCTATACATGGATTTCCGCGACTACATTTCAGCAAATTTTTAACGATTAACATAGTAGATTTTCCTATCAGATAAAGGTGATGATTCTTACTACTGTTTCTTATACTTAGCTGAAATCTCAAGTGCATATTCAGTATTTATTACTACTGCATATAACACTATTTCATATAGTTATTGCTATTTTTAAGTAGTTGGTGTTTAGGTAGTGGTTGTAAATGTTGTCAATCATTGGCGACTTATGCTGAATTTGTTGCTATTGTCTATTTTGCATGCATTATTTGCATCACCTTACTCTAGCAAACACTTGTGTGCAGTAGGCTATTGAAGAACATACATATTTGTCATGTAGACCTGACAAGGTAAGTATGTTACTGTGTCTGTTTTCATTACATTAATCTGTGTTGTATTATCTTACAAAAAACATTATTTCGTTCTGATGAAATCGCATTGTTGCTGCTCATATTGTGTTACATTACACTGTGACATTGATGGAAGCTGGTCATTAAATCTGTGACGATACAATCTTTGCCTTCAGGATGGTTCTTTGA